TCTCTAGAGTCCTATACCAAAGATGCACTGTAGATTAGCCTTAAAAGCTCAGTAGCAGAGTACTCATTGAGTGTACTTAAGGCCCCGGAGTTAATCTACAGAGGAAAGAAGACAGGAGGGAGTGAGGAAGGAATGGGGAAGAAAAGGAAGAGAGAAATTCAGGACTCCATCTCCATCCACTATCTCAGAACATGTTAAGATGATGTCAGAGATTCACAGGTTAGCCTGCGTTTGAGAAGTCCTAAGATCAGCTTTGTAAATAAAAAAGAAAGGGATATATAAGGACAGTTGTGCATATTTTTTTAATTGAATTAACACTAGAAAACACTTAAGTGGCTATTACACAATGATTAATTAACTATGGTAGGATGACCAGACATTTGTGTCTGGAATTGCCCCAAAATTTGTCAACTGACCTAGCCTAACTACTTATAGAATCTGTTTCATGCTCAGTGAAAATGTCTCAAAAAGAAAAATCACCTGTCTACAGGGAGGAGGAGTGGAGTGGGGAGGAGTATATACCTTCATATCCTTTTTATCAGTCCTCATCCTTTCAGAATTTTACATTTTATTAGCACACTGGTCTAAATGTTAGTATATTACTAACTCAAAAACATTAAGAAAAAAAAAGACAACATAAACATAAACAAAGAGCAGAGGATCAAGGATGAAAGCAATGTCTGGGGCAAAAAAAAAAGTGACTTCATAAGGGTCAGAAACACAAGTTTAGAGCATTCCAACAACAGAAAGCACTTTCAAAATGAGTCTCTCTCTCTCTCTCTCTCTCTCTCTCTCTCTCTCTCTCTCTCTCTCTCTCTCTCTCTCATATGTGTGTGTATGTGTGCGTGTGTGTGTATTTGAGTTTTGCTTTTTGTTGTTGTTTTTCTTAAATATTTTTTTGGGGGGGGACAGGGAGAAAGAACATGAAGTTGATTGGGAAGAATCTGGAAGGAACTGAAGGAGGGAAAGAAATAAATAGAAATATATTGTATGAAAACATTTTTAAATAAAATTTGACAAAATTCAGCATCCCTTTATGATAAAAGTCTTGGAGAGATTAGGGATACAAGGGTCATACCTAAATATAATAAAAGCTATTTACAGCAAGCCGACAGCTAACATCAAATTAAACGAAGAGAAACTCAAAGCCATCCCACTAAAATCAGGAACATGACAAGGCTGTCCACTCTCTCCGTACCTCTTCAATATAGTGCTTGAAGTTTTAGCAATAGCAATAAGACAACATAAGGGGATCAAGGGGATCCGAATTGGAAAGGAAGAAGTTAAACTTTCGTTATTTGCAGATGATATGATAGTGTACATAAGCGACCCC